ATAAGACAAGAAAAGGAAATAAAATATTGGGAGAGAAGAAATAAAACTGTCTGTCAATGGCATAATTATGTAAAAAAAATCCCAAAGAATCCACAAAAAAACTTGGAACTTATAAGTGATTGTAGCAAGATGGCTGGATATGAGATAAATATACAAAAGTCAATTGCTTTTCTATATACAGGCAATGAACAAGTGGAATTTGAAATGAAAACACAATACCATTTACATTAACTCCAAAAAAGAAGGAACTACTTAGGTATAAATTTAACAAAAAATATACAAGATCTATATGAGGAAAACTATAAAACTCTAGCCAAAGAAATAAAAAACAGTCTAAATAAACAGATAATCCATGTTTATTAATAGAAAGACCCCAAATTATTAAGAAATCTGTTCTTCTTGACTTGGTCTAGGTAAACACAGGCTTAACATTATCCAGCAATAGCATGTCTATGTGTTTACTAAATGAATTAATGGAAAAGTTATGTTCACAAAAGGCCTTTACATAAATGTTTATAACTGCTTTATTTATAACTACCAAAAATTGTAATAAACCAAAATGTCCTTTAATGGGTGGATGGATAAACATATGTACAATGAAATATTATTAAGTGATAAAGAAGCAATCTAACAAAGAACAAAAATCCATGTAGGAACCTCAACTGCATATTGCTAAGTGAAATAAGGCAGTCTAAAAATTTCACATACTGTATGATTCCAAGAATATCATGTCTTGGAAAAGTCAAAACTATAGAGACAGTAAAAAGATCAGTGGTTGCCTGGGGATCAGGGAAGGAAGGGAGGATGAAGAGGTGGAGCACAGGATTTTTTGGGTTGTGTGAAGCTATCCTGCATGGTTCTGTAATGGTGAATATGTGACATTTACATCTTTGTCAAAACCCATAGGACATACAACACAAGAATGAACCTTAATGTAGACTATGAACTTTGTTCATAATAATTTAGCAATATTGGTTCATCAATTGTAACTATAATACCACAGTACTGCAAGATGTTAATGAGAGAACTGTGTTTGCGTGGGTGAGGAGAAGTGGCATATGGAAACTCTGTATTTTCTGCAACACTTTTCTATAAATTTAAAACTAAAGTCTATTAAAACTTTTTTAAAGGAGAAGAAAGTTAAAATGCAATATGATTTTCATATTTCAAATTGCTTGACTTTCTGTTTTGTTTTGTTTTGTTTTTTGAGATGGAGTCTTGCTCTGTCGCCCAGGCTGGATTGCAGTGGTGTGATATCTCAGCTCACTGCAACCTCTGCCTCCCAGGTTCAAGCAAATCTCCTGCCTCAGCCTCCCAAGTAGCTGGGACTACAGGCGCCCACGATCAAGTCCAGCTAATTTTTGTATTTTTAGTAGAGACGGTGTTTCACCATGTTGGCCAGGCTGGTCTTAAAATCCTGGCCTCAAGTGATCCGCCTGCCTCAGCCTCCCAGAAGTGCTGAGATTACAGATGTGAGCCACTGTGCCTGGCCGAGATATGATTTTCATATTTCAAATTGCTTGAGATTTTGAAAAGACAATACTCAGTGAGGCATAAGGGAAGTTTAGCAACCAAAAGCTTTAAAATGTTACCGACCTCTTGACTCAGCAATTTTATTTTAGGAAATCATCATGAGGAAATAACATGAATTAAGCAAATATGTAGCCACTAGAATGTTGTTAATGATAGGAAAAACTAGGAGATAAAAGTACAGAATGATTTTATATTTTAAAAACAAACCTGGAGATACATACATGCATAAGAAAATATCTAATTGTCATCAAAATGTTAATCGTGGTTGTCTTTTTATCACATATTTTTATTGTACATTTTTTTCTGAAAAAATAAGAATGAACTTCATACCCACCATGATGGCTATTATCAGTAAAACATACAGAGAAAATACAAGAACTGGTGAGGATGTGGAGGTATCAGAACTTCTGTGTATCGCTGGTGGGCATGTACAATATTGCAGCCTCTATGGAAAACATTACAGCAGTTCCTCAAAAAATTAAACATGGTATTAACATATGATCCAGATTTTCACTTCTTAGTATAAACACCAAAGATAGCAGAGACTCAAAAGACAGTATTCGTACACCCATGTTCATAGCAGTTTTACTTGCCATAGCCAAAAGATGGAAGCAACTCAAGGGTCCACTGACAGATGAATGGATAAACAAAACGTGGTATGTACATGAAACGGAATATATTCAGCCTTAAAAAGAAAGGAAATTCTGACACATGCTACAACATGGATGAACGCCGAAGACATTATGCTAAGTAAAATAAGCCAGTCACAGGAAGACAAATACCGTATGATTCCTCTTACATGCAGTACCCAGGGCAGTCAAATTTATGGTGACAGAAAGTAGAATGATTATTTCCAGGGTAGGGGTGGAGAAGGAGCATTGGGGCAGGTACTGTTTAATGAGAACAGTTATGGTTAGGGAAGGTGAAAAACGTCTTGGAGATGGAGGGAGGTGATGGTTGCCCAACAATGTGAATGTATTTAATGCCACTGATTTGAACAATTAAAATGGTCAAAATGGTAAATTTGGTGTTATGTGTATTTTACTATGACAATAAAATAAGCAAAATCATCCAAACCAAAAACTCAATGAATGCACGACAATCTGATTAATGGATTGGTACAGAGACAGAGCCTCCATGGGGTTCATCTTGCGAAAGGAGCATGTCTTGGGCCCCCAAAATCATTAAGCTAAAAGGAAAAGTCAAGCAGGGAATCGCTTAGGGCAAACCTGCCTCCCATTCTATTCAAAATCACCCTTCTGCTCACTGAGATAAAAGCTTATCTGATTGCCTCTTTTGGAGAGGCTAATCAGAAACTCAAAAGAATGCAACCATTTCTCTCTTATCTACCTATGTCTTGGAAGTCTCCACCCAGCTTCAAGTTGTCCTGCCTTTCCAGATGGCACCAATGTTCACCTTACATACGTTGATTGATGTCTCATGTCTCCCTAAAATGTATAAAACTGTGCTCTGACCACCTTGGGCGCATGTTGTCAGGGCCTCCTGAGCTGTGTCAAAGGCGTGCATCCTCAACCTTGGCAAAATAAACTTTCTGAATTAACTGAGACCTGTCTCAGAATTTTGGGGTTCACAACCTGACAGAGGGCCATGTGTCACATGAAGCATGCAAGCTGTGCAGAGAAAGAGTATGTGGCAGGCGGTAATAGTATCTACTTGCTCATTCATTATTTCATTATTATGAAAAAATTCAAACATACAGAAACATGGAAGACATTGTACAGTGAACATTTGTATACTCACCTTCTAGATTTTACCATTAGCTTTTTATTTGTTTTAGTACATACCTGGTCATCCCTCTATCCTTCCTTTAATCTATCTTTTTTACAAAAAAAATTCAAAATTAATTGTTAAGCATCTACACACTTTCTCATAAATACTTCGGCGTGCTTATCACTACCTAGTGTTCAGTATTTATTTATATATTTTTTCCTTTAACATAAATCTTACAACGACATGCACACATCCTAAGCCCACATTTACTAAGTTTTGGCAAATACACATATTTGTGTAATCCAGGTCACTCTTAAGATATGCAACATTAGTGTCTCCCCTGGAAGTTCTCTCGTGGCCCTTGATACACGTTTTTTTTTTTTTTACAATTGCAAAAAGTAAAGCTATTTGGGAAGTATTTATAGTATGATCTTTTTGTTCTAGGAATACAGAAAAAACTGAAAGAAAACATAGTGATATTTCTGGAGCGTGGGATTACCGTTGATCTTAATTTTGTTCTATTCCTTTCTCTGTATTTTCTAAATTTTATATAATGTCTTACTTGGGTGGTAGAAAAACAAAACAAAAGCTACTTAGAAGAAGCATCTTCCTTGTAAGAAATGATGCCACACACATAAGAATATTTATAGTCACTAAATGATCAGTTTGAAGTTAGTGTATGTAGCAAAATTGGAAACATTTCAATATGATATTAAAATATAACTGCAGGCCGGGTGCAGTGGCTCATGCCTGTAATCCCAGCACTTTGGGAGGCCGAGGCAGGTGGATCACTTAAGGTCAAGAGTTTGAGACCAGCCTGGCCAATGTGGCAAAACCCCATCTCTACTAAAAATACAAAAATTAGCCTGGCATGGTGGTGCATGCCTGTAATCCCAGCTACTTGGGAGGCTGAGACAGGAGAATCTCTTGAACCTGGGAGGCGGAAGTTGCAGCGAGCCAAGATCGTACCACTACACTCCAGCAGGGGCAAGAGAGCGAGACTCCATCTCAAAAACAAACAAACAAACAAAAAACTATAATGACAAAATTAAAAGAAATATTAATACCGTAAGTACCCTATATGAAAGTATGTCAACACACAACAGAAATAGAAAGGAATAAGAAAAACACAAGGGTCTATATTTCTCATTTTGTTTTGGTGATGGAATTATAGGTAATTTTTGCAAAAATAAAACAGTCATATCATCTTTTTCTAAATTAAAAAAGTGGTTAAGTATCCCATAAAACCCTGACTTCAGGACCACCCATGGGCCAACTCCTTTTTTTTTTTGAGACAGAGTCCAGTTGTGTTGCTCAGGCTGGAGTGCAGTGGCATGATCTCAGCTCACTGCAACCTCTACCTCCCTGACTCAAGCAATCCTCTTGCCTCAGCCTCCTGAATAGCTGGGATTACAGGCGCATGCCACCATGCCTGACTAATTTTGTTTGTATTTTTAATAGAGACGGGGTTTCACGATGTTGGCCAGGCTGGCCTTGAACTGCTGACCTCAAGCGATCTGCCTACCTCGGCCTCCCAAAGTGCTGGGATTGCCAGTGTGAGCCACCATGCCCAGCCAATGATGATATTTTAATTCTGTCATTCCTTACACATTTATTAGCCACCGTGCCTGGCCTTCCTTGGCTTTCGTAAAGGGCTCACCTGTCGGCACATTCTGGTTGCATTTAGAACACGTAATTCAAACTATTATACTAGAACATAACAGGTTCTAAATTACCTCTTTCTGGAAAGGTGTTGTTTTTGGTGAGTTTGACGCTTTTGGGCCTTGGGTGGTTATCATCCATGCCCATGATCAGGTTGCGGAAAAACACATCAAATTTCTTTCTGCTGTCTGCATTGATGGTGCCAGCCACGGTCCACACCAAGGAAAAGAGAAACAGTCCTTGGAGCCAGAGAAAGATTTGTTGACTTGACAGGCCTTCACCTAATTCCATTTCCTCCTCTTCTACTGCCCTGATTTCATCTATAAGTGAGAAAAGCGAATCTCAGGACAGAGTGCAGAATGCCACAGATATAAGGGCTGTGAACTGGTTGGCTTTGCCTTTGAAGGGTCTGGGCCAGAGGGGCGACTGATACTGGCAGAGTGCTTATCACCTACCAGATCATTTATCACATGCATTTTTTTTTTTTTCTGAAACAGGGTCTCACTCTGTCTCCCAGGTTGGAGTACAGTGGTGCAGTCACAGTTCACTGTAGTCTCGACCTCCCGGGCTCAAGTGATCCTCCCTCCTCAGCCTCCTGAGTAGCTGGGACCACAGGCACTAGCCACCACATCTGGCTAATTTTTGTATTTTTTTGTAGAGATGGGGTTTCGCCAGGTTGCCCAGGCTGGTCTCGAACTCCTGAGCTCAAGCAATCCACCCACCTTGGCCTCTCAAAATGCTGGGATTATAGGCGTGACCAATATTTTTATTTATATATATAATTTTTAAATATATATATACCGCTATATAAAATATATATAATATATATAAATATATATAATATACATAAATATATATATATATATTACTTTTTTGAGCTGGAATCTAGCTCTGTCGCCCATACTCGAGTGCAGTGGCACGATCTCGGCTCACTGCAACCTCCGTCTCCCGGGTACAAGTGATTCTCTTGCCTCAGCCTCCTGGGTAGCTGGGATTACAGGGGCCCGCCACCATGCCCAACTAATTTTTGTATTTTTAGTAGAGACGGGGTTTCACTGTGTTGTTGGCCAGGCTGGTCTCGAACTCCTGACCTCATGATCCACCCACCTCAACTTCCCAAAGTGCTGGAATTACAAGCGTGAGCCACCGTGCCCAGCCTTTGCTGCAATATTTTTATTGCGGTAAAATACATGATGTATAATTTACCATCTAACCATTTTTTAGTGTATAGTTCAGTGGTATTAAGTGCATTCATATTGCTGTGCAACCATCACCACCATCTACATCCAGAACTGGATATAGAAGCTCTTTGCCCATTAAACAATAACTTCCCCCTCCATCCTCCCTCATCCCTCTTGCAATCAGAACTCTCCTTTCTGTCTTTATAAATTTGGCTACTCTACGTACATTATAGAGGTAGAACTGCACAGTCATTTTGTGACTGGCTTATTTTCTTAGTATAATGGCTTTAGTGTTCATCCAAGCTATAGCATGCATCAGAATTTATTTCCTTTTTAAGGCTAAATAGCAGTTCATTGCAAAATTACAACACATTTTGCTTATTTGTTCATCCATCAGTAGACACATGGGTTGTTTTCACCATTTGACTATTGTGAACAAAAGTTCTATGAACATGGTTATACAAATATCTGATCGAGTCTCTCCTTTCAATTCTTTTGGGTTTATATCCAGAGGTGAAAGTGCTGGATCAATAAGTCTACATTTACTTTTTTGTTTTTTTTGGATATTAATCTCTTATCAGAGAGGAGGTAAGATGGGGGTCCCGCTATGTTCATCTCCCTCTAGGATATCCCTGTGAGGTAAAAAGGGCAGGAATTACTACTCTCATTATGTGAATGAGGAGCTTAGACTGAGGAACGATGGGGTAATTTGCACTAGAATGCCCCCCAAAAATCAATATCAGACAAAGACTAAACACATGGATTTTCCCTACCAAACTCTACTATCTGCACTCGAAAGGCTTGCTTGTTCTAGACCAAACAGCCAGTCTTGTTGTAATTCACTGGGGTCCAAAGAGAGGTGGGAGCAGAAAAAATAGTCAAGGTAGGCCAGGCGCTGTGGCTCATGCCTGTAATCCCAGCACTTTGGGAGGCAGAGGCAGGTGGACCACTTGAGGTCACGAGTTCAAGACCAGCCTGGTCAACATGGTGAAACCCCGTCTTTACTAAAAACACACAAAAAAATAGAGTGGTATGTGCCTTAATCTCAGCTACTCAGAAGGCCAAGGCAGGAGAATCACTTGAACCTGGGAGGCGGAGGCTGCAGTGAGCCAAGATCATGCCACTGCACTCTAGCCTTGATGACAGAGTGAGACTTCATTTCAAAAAAAAAGAAAAAGAAAGAAATAGCCAAGGTCGACCCATCCCCCATGTGGCTGAAGAATCATGGCTAGCACTTACCAAGCAGAGAAGAGTACAGTCTCATCATTGAGAAGGCAAGGTGGATGGGAGACGTTTGGACAACAAATTTACAATGAAGGCGACCAAATTCCAGGCAGGGCTGGACAAGCCACATGAACATGTCATTGACCTGAAAGTAGAAAGCTCCATGAGACTTGGAGACATGATCAACAAGTGAGTTGAAGACCAAGAGCTTGGCCTACCTCGTGAGGCTAGAGATGCTGGTTAGACTAGCATCTCTAGTCTTTTTACAAGAAAAGTTATCCGGCTTGCTTTTCTTGTAATGCTTTTTTAAACCTTTAACCTTTGTTATACTTTTTAAAAAAAGATTTATTGATTTACTTAATTTTCTTTTTTTTTTTTTTTTTTTGAGACGGATTTTACATGTAGGTGCCTTGGGGAAAAACTTACAGGCAACGAAACTCCTATCTCAGTGTCCTCCTTCAGGGTCCTAAGACTGTTGCCCACAGGCCATGTTAACTCAGTTTCCCATCCACATTCCATTGCCCAGAGCTGATACTCAGAGAGGCTTGGAAACACTCTGGGTCAGCTACAGGACACATAAAATGTGTTTAGAACCCAACTACTGTATCTGCCTTTGTTTCTATACAAAGTATTAGGAATTCTAAACAACTAATTTACAAATGACTGATAGACACTGGTGAGGTGGGACTCCTGTATAAATTAGTCAAAGAGAGTACACAGCTAATTTGGGGGCTCATTTTCAGTAATTCACCACGTGTATGGGTAGGTTTATATGTTCTTATTTGGGGGTATCATGATTCTTGCCTCTAGTATCTGTTCTCCGGTCCATTTACTCTTTTAAAAAGTTATCCGGCTTGCTTTTCTTGTAATGCTTTTTTAAACTTTTAACCTTTGTTATACTTTTTTAAAAGAGATTTATTGATTTACTTAATTTTTTTGTTGTTGTTGTTGAGACAGAGTTTTGTTCTGTCGCAAAGGATGGAGTGCAATGGTGCGATCTCAGCTCACTACAACCTCCGCCCCCCTGGGTTCAAGTGATTCTCCTGCCTCAGCTTCCCTGAGTAGCTGGGATTACAGGCATGCACCATCATGCTCAGTTAATTTTTGTACTTTTAGTAAAGACAGGGTTTTACCATGTTGGCCATGCTGGTCTCGAACTCCTGACCTCAAGTGATCTGCCCGCCTCGGCCTCCCAAAGTGCTGGGATTACAAGCGTGAGCCACCATACTCAGCCTCTTTGTTATACTTTATTTGCAACTTTCCCTATACACTTTTTTTCTTAAGAAGTAGGAAGGCCATCACTAAATAAATACACACTTAGGTGTGGATCTATATGGATAATACATGTATGTGTAGATGCATTTATATGTATATATAAAAATACAGGTATACATGGAAATGTGGTATATCAATTCAGTCAACAAATATTTATTGAGCATCTACTAATTGCACAGTAGTAGTGCTGGGGATAAACAATGGAAAAGGTAGATAAGGAACCCTCGTGGAGTTTACAGTCTGAGGGGCAGGGAAGACAAACAATAAATAACTAACCTAGCAGGGAAATCAGTAAAATACCTACAGATCATGCGAAGTCCTAGCAGGAAACACTAAGGTGTTATGGTGAAAAATAACAGGAAGGGTTTAAATAGGGTAGTTAAAGAAGGCTTCCCGGAGGAGGAGATTTTTATGTTGAGAACTACATGATGAGGGTGAGCCAACTCTGAGATAAACTGAGGCAAGAGTCCCAGGAATAGGAATAAAAAGAGCAAAAGCCTTGAGGTGGTGAAACCTGGGCTTGTCTTGGAAACAAGACAGGACTGCTGGAGACTGCTAAGCTGAGGCTGAGAAAGAGCAGGCAATGAGATTGCAGAGGCAGGTGGGGCCAGATCACAGAGTCTCATGGGCCCTGATAAGGAATTGAACTTTGTGCCAGGGACATTGGGGAGTCCCTAAATGACTTTACATATATGGGGACTCGGCAGCTTTTGGGGGGTGTGTGTGTGTGTGTGGACTGGTGCTTGAATGTGCACGTGGACATGTACTTGCATTTACATATTATCCATGTATGTAGGTGGTGACAGACATGGAACCGTCCTACATAATCCCCCAAAGAGTTTTCATTGTGGGAATAGACCCTTCTTGGATTCCTCAGTGGGAGACTTTCCTAAGCATTCTATTAACGCAGGGGAGGGCAAGAGGGACCACAGACACTGCTACTCCCTTCCTGCTTCCGGGTCTGAGAGTGTGGTCAGGTACCCGCCTAACCTGAACTTTCCCACCTCTTTAGAGAAGGGAAGAAAGGAGTGGTCGCTCACAGTAGCTGCAATGAAAGCACTTCTAACTGGTTCCAGCTCCCTCAAGGTGGGAGGTGCAGAGTCCAGGTTACAGGGATGGGAATTGGCAGCACAAAAAGGAACACCTGGTCCATCTCTAGAGAAGCTTCTACAGACATTTCTGTTAGTGGGGCAATGAAGAAAGAGGTGACATTTCAGCTTCCATAGAGAACATTCCTCAGCACTGGGATTCTCCACTAGGGAGCCAGGGAGTGATGGGGAAGGAGGAAGAGGAAGGAGAAATTGACTGCACCACCCCATGCCTACCATATGGAGAAGAAAGTTGGAAAAATGGCAGGCAGCCAGGAAACAAGATAACTGGGGACAACAAGGGAATTCCCTGCCCCTTCTTGCCTCCTGGGACTAAGAAGGTGAAGATGTAACTAGAAGACCCTCGAGATGAAAAGCAGGGAGACAGGAGGAGGGGAAGGAAAGGGTCTGAGAGGCTCACCAATTCCTTGTGCTCCTCAGTGAGACTGGAGGGCAGGGTGTCCATGTAGGAATCCTTCAGAGGCTTCCAGCCTAGCTGATGGGGCTCCATGTAGATCATTCCACACCTGGGAAGCACAGAGGACCAGTCTAGGTGCTTGCTTGTTTGTTACTAATACGGGTTAACGTTTATTGAGCATCTACTGCATCTCAGGCACCATGCTAGGCATTAATGGATCTTGACAATAACCTAGTCCCCTGGGTTTACCCACCTTGAATCCTGTGTTCATCTGCCCCTTGATTTCTTTCCTTCATATACAGTTTTATGGCATTTCTATATGTTCCTAAAATGTTTGTTTGTCTGGAGACAGTGTATTGCTCTGTTGCCCAGGCTGGAATACAGTGGTGCAATCTCGGCTCACTGCAACCTCCGCTTCCCTGGTTCAAGTGATTCTCATTTCTCAGCCTCCCGAGTAGCTGGGATTACAAGTGCGTCCCACCACACCTGGCTAACTTTTTTGTATTTTTAGTAGAGATTGGGTTTTGTCTTTAGTACAGACAGGGTTGGCCAGGCTGGTCTAGAACTCCTGGCCTCAAGTGATCCACCCACCTGGGCCTCCCAGAGTGCTGGGATTACAGGTGTGAGCCACCGGTCTGTTCCTAAAGTGTTTATATTTTTACTTTAGTTGTTTTTAACAATTTAAAAGGGGTACCATGCTATAGATAATATTTTGATCTTATTTTTATTACTATATAATAATAATACAGTATATAATAGCATATAATATAACCATACAGTATATATAATTATATTATATATTAGTATATAATAACAGTATATATTAGTATATAGTATAACATTATATTATATATAATATATTGTAATTATATTTATAGATATAATTATATTATTACATTATTTGTATTATATATAATATTGCTAAGATTTTGTCCTTAATAGAGTTACTAAGATTTATTTATATAGTTGCATGTCAGTGCAGTTCTTTTCAGTACTTTATTATACATATTATAATTTCTGATTCTCTTATACTTTATTAATTCACTCTTTTTTTGTTGTTGTTGTTGTTTGTTTTTTAGATGGAGTCTTGTTCTGTCACCAGGCTGGAGTGCAGTGGCATGATCTTGGCTCACTGCAACTTTTGCCTCCTGGTTTCAAGCAATTCTCCTGCCTCAGCCTCCTGAGTAGCTGGGATTACGGGCACCCACCACCACGCCTGGCTATTTTTTTGTATTTTTTTTTAGTAGAGATGAGGTTTTACCATGTTGGACCAGGCTGGTCTCAAACTCCTGACCTCAGGTGATCCGCCCGCCTCGGCCTCCCAAAGTGCTGGGATTACAGCATAAGTCATCGCACCTGGCCACCAGTTAACTTGATTAATAGGCATTTGGGCTGTTTCCAAGTGTTTGTTACTGTGAGTTCTGCCACTGTATTTTTTTGTACAGATCTCCTATTGCACATGCCAAAAGTTTCCCTTGGGTCTGTACTTAGGAGAATACAGAGATTCAACTTTAGGAGATAATATCAAACTGTTTCCAAAGTTCTCGCTGGGTTTTAGACTCCCACCAGTAGTGTGGATTGAGGGCTGATTTTATGACAAATCTAAATGCATGAGAAATAACACAATGCTAAGCAAATTAACGCAGGAACAGAAAACCAAATCCCATATGTTCTTACTTATAAATGGGAGCTAAACATGGAGTACACGTGGACGCAAAGAAGGGAACAATCCCTGGGCACGGTGGCTCACGCCTGTAATCCGAGCACTTTGGGAGGCTGAGGCAGGCAGATCATGACATCAGGAGCCTGAGACCAGCCGGGCCAACAAGGTGAAACCCTGTCTCTACCAATAATACAGAAATTAGCCGAGCGTGGTGGCAAGCACTTGTAGTCCCAGCTACTGGGGAGGCTAAGGCAAGAGAATCGCTTGAACCTGGGAGGCGGAAGTTGCAGTGAGTTTAGATCACGCCACTGCACTCCAGCCTAGGTGACAGGGTGAGACCCCGTCACCAAAAAAAAAAAAAAAGAAGGGAACGATAGATATGGGAGCCTACCTGAGGGTGGAGGGTGGAGGGTGGAGGGTGGAGGAGGGTGAGGATGGAAAAACTACCTGAATAACTGGGTGACAAAACAATCTGTACCCCAAACCCCCATGCCATACAATTTACTCATGTAACAAAGCTGCGCATATACCCCCTGGAACCTAAAATAAAAATTGGAAAGAAAAATAATAATAATATAGATGATCTGTGAGGGCTTCATCACATTTGTGAAATTTGAGAGCTTTCTCTACTGCTTAGGGTGAGTGGGGCCACACTGTCCCCTGGAGTGCCAGTGAGGGCTGCCTCACCTGCTCACAGTGGCTGGAGAGGCCTGCTCGAGGTCGGCCGGCTCGAAGATCAGGCTCATCTTGGAGTTCATCTGGATAATTTCTCCACTCATGAGACACAGCTAAAAGTGCAAAGCAGGGGGTAATGGACAAGGGAAGAGCTTAAATTCCATCTGAAAGTAAAAGGTCTACAGTCAGACAAAGATGGTTTGATTCATTCCATAAATATTTCTTGAGTACTTACTATGTCCCAGGCACTGTTCTAGGCGCATAAAATAAACCAGACAAAATTTCCTATCCTCTTGGGGTTTAGATTCTTCTAGGAGATGACAGACAAGAAGCAAAATAATAGTGTTCAAAATGGAGAAAAATTAAGTAGAAGAGGGGGTTGGAGAACCCTCAGTCAGGGTTGAGCGAGCTGCAATTTTTGTTTATTTTTGAGACAGAGTCTCGCTCTGTCGCCCAGGCTGGACTGCAGTGGCCAGATCTCAGCTCACTGCAAGCTCCGCCTCCCGGGTTCACGCCATTCTCCTGCCTCAGCCTCCCAAGTAGCTGGAACTACAGGCGCCCGCCACCTCGCCCGGCTAACTTTATTTGTGTGTTTTTTAGTAGTGATGGGATTTCACCGTGTTAGCCAGGATGGTCTCGATCTCCTGACCTCGTGATCCGCCCGTCTCGGCCTCCCAAAGTGCTGGGATTACAGGCTTGAGCCACCGCGCCCCGCCTGTGAGCTGCAATTTTAATGGGAAGACCAGGAAATCACTGACCTTAGATGCAATCTCAGATGAAGGATCAAGAAGTTATCAGACCTCACCAAGTTTCCTGGTGCCTTTCTCAATATTTAACATCGAACTTAACTGCACAGCCACATCCTATTTTTATTTGCTCAAGTCTTTCACAAAAGACCCGAATTTGAACACCCGCATGGACTAATCCATAGCAGGAGGGGCAAAAGCCTTTCCATAAATCCTTTTTATTTTTAATTTTTATTTGCTTTTGAGACAGGGTATCGCTCTGTTACCCAGACTGAAATACAATGACACAATCACAGTCACTCCATCCTCGACCTTCGGGGCTCAAGCAATCCTCCCACCTCAGCCTCCTGAGTAGCTGGGATTACAGGTGTGTACCTCCACAAGTAGCTAGTTTTTTATTTTTTGTTTTTCATTTTTAGATTAAATCAGTGATACCATAATATATTTTAAAAATTTTTTGTAGAGACAGGATCTCCCTATGTTGCCCAAGCTGATCTCAAACTCCTGGTCAAGCAATCCTCCTGTCTCTGCCTCCCAAAATGCTAGGATCACAAGCATAAGCCACTGTGCCTGGTCCATAAATCTTTTTTAGAATAGAATGAAAGAGGCCAGGCACAGTGGCTCATGCCTGTGTTCCCAGCACAGCACTTTGGGAGGCCGAGGAAGGCAGATCACTTGAGGTCAACAGTTGGAGACCAGCCTCGCCAACGTGGTGAAACCCCATTTCAAAATACAAAAAAAAAAAAAAAAAAAAAAGCCGGACACGGTGGCACGCATCTGTAATCCCAGCTACTCCAGAGGCAGGAGACTTGAGGGAGGCGGAGGTTGCAGTGAACTGAGATCGCATCACTGCACTTCATCCTGGACAACAGAGGGAGGCTTTGTCTCAAAAAAAAAAAAAAAAAGAAAAGAAAAAGAAAAATCATCAGAATTTCTAGTGTGTAGCAGGTAAAACCCTGTAGGAAGTAGTGCAATTACACAGGAAAGCCTTGAAATATATACTAAGTCAATGGCACTGTTTCCCACTCACCAAAATGGATTCCAGTGAGATGTTTAAGTTATAAGAAAAGGGCTGAGGCCCTCAGGGGAGAAGAGGAAATACCACTGATTCATTGTGCTCATCCTAATTTGTGATTAAAAACTTCCCTGCACCTTACTTGGCCTGCATCAAACACAGCTTGAAACAGGTCACTGCCTGCATCCCCAGGAAGATCACAGCCGTTATAAGGCTGACACCACCAACCGTGTCATCTCTGAATATCAAGAAAACGAAAACAGACCCACACCTGTGACTGTAGTTTCATTTACACCCAGAGCAGAGGAAACCATTAGGAAATTCACTGATTGTGACTGTCTTGATACTTCTAATCTCAAGACCAACCGATACATCTGTACAATTAGTTTATATAATATAGTCCATATCATGTAATAAAACATTTCCATTTTTGAATGTTATATAATCAAAATTATGCACATGCTATAATTAGTGGATGTGTATAATTTGGATAATTAGCCCTTTCGTTGTTGAACATGACTCACTCTTAGTCTTGTGACATTTAAACACAGTTAGAAAATATATTTTCATTTGATAATGATGATTATCCAGTGAAGGAATTCTTCCTTGAAATGATGATAAATTTTATTTTAAACAGTTATATAGCATTTGCTATATGCCAGGCACTATCAGAAGAGGTGTATAAATAGTAACTTATCTCATCTTCTACTTTATCCTAACAGTATAAGGTAGACACTATTGTCCCTACTTTACAGATGATGAAATTGGGGCTTCAACAGACTAAATAGCTTGTCTGAGGTTACATAGTGGGAAAGTGGCAAGGCCAGGATTTGAACCCAGGCTGTCTGGCTCCAGAGTCCAAGCTCTTTTAGCCACCATACATACTGTGGTGCTATACTTATTGTGGTACCACTCTACTTATTTTTCCAAAGATTGGTGGTATTTTTCCAAAGATTGCTGTATTTCCCAAAGGTGCAGGCATCTGTTTGGACTCCTAACTCTACTATTGAGCTGTGTTGTAATGGGCAAGTTACATAAATTCCATCCCATATGCTCCTTTTTTTTTTTTTTTTTTTTTTTGAGACAGGGTCTTTCTCTGTTGCTCAGGTTAGAGCACAGTGGCACAATGAAGGCTCACAGTAGCAGTTACTTCCAGACTCAAGTGATCCTCCCACCTCAGCCTCCTGAATAGCTGGGACTACATGAACTCACCACCATGCCCAGTTAATTAAAAAAAAAATTTTTTTTGTAGAGATGGCTTACTATGTTGCTCATACTGGTCTCGAACTCCTGGGCTCAAGCAATCTCCCGTCTCAGCCTCTGGGATTACAGGTGTGATCCTACAGGGCCCAGTCCATATGCACTTTTGCAATGTGACTTGTCTGCCTCCATCAAGAGGTGAAGTCTATTTTTCCACTTCCTGGTCAGGACTTGCGACTTCCTTGACCAACAGAATGCAGAAAAAGTGATGCTTATCAGTTTTAAGCATAGCCCTTAATATCTTGGAAACTTCCACTTCCTGACTCTTGGAAATCACCCACCGCATAAGTAGTGCCACTACCAAGACACCACCAAGTGAAAAGCCCAAGCCATGAGAAGTGGCCTGGAAGAGGAGGTATTATTTTTAGAGAGAAAGAAAAAGAGAGAGAGAAAGAGGGGCCGAATGTGATTGTGCCACCAGGCATTAAGTGAAGACGCCATCTTGAATGCAGATTTTCTAACCTAAGCTGTCTGAACTGACATCAAAAGAGAGACCAACTGGCCAGCTAAGCCCTTTGAAAATTCCCAGCCCACAAAATCATGAGGAAAAGAAATGGTTGTTTTAAGCCATTAAGTATTAGGGTGGTTTGTTGCATAGCAATAGTTAACCAAAACATATCCCGTAGGTACTATGTATGTGCAATCTCATTTAAGTATCAACAACCTCATTTTATTACTACCTTTCTACAAATGAGAAAACTGAGATTCAGAGAAGTTATGCGACTTGCTCAGTAAAACGCAGCTCAGTTGCAGAGCTAGGAGTCCAAACCAATGCCAGCACTAAGGCTTACTATTCAACATGGTCTCTAAACATGTTTAGCTTACCAACTACAAGTACAAACAGAGCATAATTCATGAACTCATTACTATTATTCTCCTGTGGGGCATTTACTCTTAGTGCAATACATGTGTGTCTCTATATAGTTTTGATCAGTCGCTTACTTCAATAAAAGAGTTTATGTCTCACTCATGGAAAAGTGATATCAGGCTCAATACTTACCTTTTTATTGTCATCCAGAACAGTGTTCATATTTTCAATCCAGACAGCATCCACCGGCCCATCAAAGATAATCCACTTGCGATCATCAGAGAGTGAAGACGCTTGCTCCCGGAAAGCATTGGCAAGGACACCATCCGTCCACTCGTGGCTCACTTGGTCAAAGCACCCATACAGCTGCCCCATCGTGATAGCCTTGGGGTTGATGATCTTGTACTCCACAGCAAACTCCTCCATCTGATTGGCTGGGCAAGAAGGTTCAACACGTTATAAAGGCTCTGGTGAGACCAGAACATTAAACAAAAGATGATGTCATCTCAACAACCAATCAACTTTTATAAATATGCTATATGAGGGAAATCCTTCTTATAAAGTATGTGCTTAGTTTTTATAGAGATTGGGATCCAGGGCCAGGAGCAGTAGTAGCTCACACCCATAATCCCAACACTCAGGGAGGCCGAGATGGGAGGATCACTTGAACCTGGGAAATGGAGGCTGCAGTGAGCTCTGATTGTGCCACTGCACTTCAGCCTGGGCAACAGAATGAAGCCCTGTCTCAAAAAAAAAAGACTGGGACATCTGGATAGGCAATGCATCACATTATTCGGTTACTATAGCCTTTGGTTTCTCACCGTACTTTCTTCCAATCCTCATTTCAAACAGGGCAAATGTGCTAGTCAGATCCAGGACTACTTGCTGGGCACAGTGGCTCACACCTGTAATCCCAGCACTTTGGCAGGCCAAGGCAGGTGGATAACTTGAGGCCAGGAGTTTGAGACCAGCCTGGCCAGTATGGTGAAACCCTGTCTCTACTAAAAATACAAAAATTAGCTGGGGGTGGTGGTGCATGCCTGTAAACCCAGCTACTCAGGAGGCTGAGGTAGGAGGTGGAGGTTGCAGTGAGCTGAGACCATGCCACTGCACTCCAGCCTGGGCGATAGAGTGAGACTCTGTCTCAAAAAAAAAAAAAATCCAGGACTAGAGACATCTGACTGCCCTCATAGAACTCAAGCAGGAAGGGAAAGTGATACCTATTATCAGCCCTCTATGTACCTGCTCTCACAGCCACCCTTAGAACCTTGGCTTTTCAAACTCAAACAGGCTGAAGAAAGAAAATAAAAATGAAAAGAACGGATCAGAACCTTGGCTTTGATTTGAGATAAGGAAACAAGAAACAGCTGACAGGTAAAAAGGTTCTGAAAAATGATAGTTACTTTTCTGTCTCTGAAGGGCTAGTCTGGTGCCGAAATCTTTCTTGACTGCTCAGGAAATGTCATTTGTTCCCAAGAAATACACACCGGAGTATTAAAACTCAACTGGAACGTACACGCTGATGGATGGCACAGCATATGTATTTAATAACAGACAAACAAAAAATCACACTGTCGTGGAATCCTTCAAAGTAGGGAAAGGTTGAAGTGCTTGAGCCATGAACTAAATAAAGAACCACTTCTGGGCCAGGTGTGGTGGCTCATGCCTGTAATCTCAGCACTTTGGAACGCTGAGGCAGGAGGATTGCTTGAGCTCTGGAGTTCGAGACCAGCCTGTGCAACATGGCAAAACCCTGTCTCTACAAAAAATACAAAAATTAGGTGAGCATGGTGGCACAGGCCTATGATCCCAGCTACCCAGGAGCCTGAGATAGGAGGATCTCTTGAGCCCAGGAGGCAGAATTTGTAGTGAGCCGGGACCGTGCCACTGCCCTATCTCTAAAAAACATTAAAAAAAATTAAATAAATAAAAAAGAACTACTCTGCAGAATACTGAGGCAAACACAGTGGTAGCCTCCTTTTTCTTTACTCAGTTTCTTAAGGTATATTAAAATGCTAAAAATATTTTATATTTTATTATATTCTATTATTTGAGACTGGGTCTCACTCGCCCAGGCTGGAATTGCAGTGCAGTGCGCAATCAGAGCTCACTGCAGCCGCCAACTCCTGAGCTCAACTGATCTGCCCGCCTCAGCGCCTCAAAGTGTCGGGATTATAGGTGTGAGCCTCTGTACTCTGCCTTAAAATTTTTACTTAAATTTGAAATGCCCAAATTAGTTATTAAGGCTAGGATAACCCCCAAAACAGAACCTCAAAAACCAATCATCAAATATTATTAGAAAAAAAATTTTTAATGAAAAACTTGAAGCAATGCGTGCACAAAAAGGAAATGCTTTTATAAAACTACAGATTTGCGTTTTATAAAAACAAAACAAAACAAACAGACACTCACACAGACAAAAGCCACAATTGTTTCTCTGGCAATAAACATAGCTTCTGTTTGTTGAGTATGCACTGTGCTCAGTTATTTACCTGCATACTGTCACTTAATTCTCACAACAATCCCATTTTACAGCTGGGGAAACAGAGGATAAGACAGGTTTAGTCATTTGCCCAAGTCTGAGTCTGATTCAAAAGTAGGAGCTCCTATCCTTGACTTTAAAAGGAAGGAAAGAAGGGAGGGAGGGAGGGAAAAAACTAAAAGGAAGGGAACAGGGAAAGAAGAATAGAAGAAGCAAAACCATGCAATGATTTGCTTTGAGACTAATTTTAAGGTCAATGACAAGAGTTTCTCTTTCACTGGGGGACCTTCGGAGAAACCACTGCTCGGCATTTGAGAAAATTCTTCCAGGCCTTAATGATATGCACATGAAATCCCTTGTTATTATAGAAGCACCCCACCCCCACCCTTTATTTTCTGCTTGCAGACATCTGTGTGTCGTGTTCTATTTCTAGCTCTGACGTCACGATCGAGACCTGATAAGACTAGCAGCCTGGCATTATCTCCATGGAGCCAGCCAACCGAGCGAGGAGTTCTGTCCTCCCTGGAAGCCAGGGATGTGAGCTTCACCTGCGTGTAAATCGCCGAGAGCTGCAGCCAACACTTTATAAGCAGAGGTCTTGCCGCCCATGGGGTCTCCCACAATCATGTAACCATGTCTCACCAGCATCATTTCGTAGATCTGGGAGGAGACATCATTCATAAAAGAAGTTAATCATTGCAACGCTCCCCTATTATGAGTTAGTCAGAAGTCAATGAGGAATGAGGAGTCAGAAGAGGATTCTCACAGTCGCTTCTACCTCTGGAGAGCTACGGTTCTTTTCGTAATCTACAGTTCACATATCTTTCAGATGAATAAATACATGTATGCATCTCAGATTATTTAAAGGCCGGGAACTACCATTTGCTCTGTACCTTGTCTATGTTAAGAATCAACTGATAACCCAAATTATTTAATCTACTCCGATATCATTGACCACCTTTTACAAATGGTAAGACTGAGCCCAAGAGAGGTTAAATACTTGCCCAAGTTCATCAGTGATGGAGCCAGAATTTGCAGACAGACCTATTTGGCTTTAATGCCTCTAATATTTTCATGACACTATTGCCATTTACTTTTAAAGAGAAAAAGAAAATGGCGGTCATTTTAGCAAACTGTGTTTCTCCTGGAAACTTTCTTTCTTGAGATCTGCTTTGGTCATTTGCATTTATGTGAATTTTATGGCTTAAAAAAATTTCCTCCTTTAGACTATGACTCCCTCAGAGAAAGGGAACACAAGCAGCTTTTTATTTTAAAGATAAATTCTTATTATTTTTCACCTTGGAGGTAAGCAATAAGAAGCATCTAAATGAAGATAGTGACAATGGGAATGGTAGAGAGAGGAACACATGTCATTCAGCAAATATTTGTTGAGCATCTACTATGTGCCAGACACCGTTACCGTTAAGTAGGGTTGACATTCAGGTAGGTTTGAAAGCTACTGTTTGAAAGTTACAGAGCAGAGAACAAGACAAAATCCCTAACCATTTAGTAGGGTTGACATTCAGGTAGGTTTGAAAGCTACTGTTTGAAAGTTACAGAGCAGAGAACAAGACAAAATCCCTAACCATTTAGTAGGGTTGACATTCAGGTAGGTTTGAAAGCTTGACTGTGCATCAGAAATAAGAGGAAGGCTGGGCTTGGTAGCGCATGTCTGTAATCCTAGCATTTTGGGAGGTCACGGTGGGTGGATCATTTGATGTCAGGAGTTTGAGACCAGCCTGGCCAACGTGGTGAAACCCCATGTCTTCTAAAAATACAAAAATTAGCTGGGCATACTGGCACATGCCTGTAATTCCAGCTACTCAAGAGGCTGAGGCAGTAGAATCTCTTAAGCCTGGCAGGTGGAGGTTGCAGTGAGCTGAGATGACGTCACTGCACTCCAGCCTGGGTAATGGAGGGAGACTCTGTCTAAAATAAAAAACAAAGGAATAAGAGAGGAAGACATTAATCACTCATAGCCTCTCACATTCCTCCTCACATTGTGACGTCAATATGCAAAAGGGCAGGTAGCTCCAGACACCTTGTTTTTGAAAATATTACCTTGTTTTTGTAAATTGGTACTAAGCTATATGAAAGTTCATCTGTAGGTCTTCAAATTACTTTGAAATACATCAACAAGTAAGATGGATGGATGGATGGATAAATAATAAAGCAAATAGTATACAATATTTATTGTAAAATCTGAGTGGTGAGTACATGAGTGTTCTCTGTACATTTCTTTCCATTTTTCTGCATGTTTAAAATGTTTTGTAATAAAATATTGAAAATTAAAGCTCATGCCTAGTTAAAGAATGGTCCTTCTGCAAAATCTCAATCATAAATTAGGGTTCAAAATTGGGTTAAATGAGTTGTGTCAAAAACTAGCTCACTTGCTAATACAGTAGGGAAAAAGTGATTATTTTTACCACAAGGCAGTGTGATCTCAGAATCTGGAGACCTGGGTCCTAACGTGAACTTCACTTGTAACTCGCATTGTGACTTTGGGAAGTGCTGATGCCAATGGTGCTGACCATGATGGCAGAGATGGTGGAGTTGATAATGATATAGCATCAGGTACTATGTGTAGCGCTTTACACACCTCTTCTCTCAGAATTACTCCAGTTTACAGATGACTGAGGGTAAAAGAGGTGAACTAATTTGCCTAAAATCTCACAGCACAAAACTGATGGGATTTGGGAGGCTGAGGTGGGAGGATCACCTGAGGTCAGGAGTTTGAGAGCAGTCTGGCCAACATGGTGAAACCCCGTCTCTACAAAAAAAGTTAAAAAATTAGCTGGGCGTGGTGGCATGTACCTGTAATCCCAGCTACCCAGGAAGTTGAGGCAAGAGAATCACTGGAATCTGGGAGGCACAGGTTGCAGTGAGCCGAGGTTGCACCACTGCACTCCAGCCTGGGCAACACAGCAAGACTCCGTCTCAAAAACAAACAAACACACACACACAAAAACTGATGGAGTGAGTAAGTGGATTTTTGGGTTTTGGTTGTTTGTTTTACCTCCATTTCTTTCTATTTCTTTTTTTTGAGACAGAGTCTTGCTCTGTTGCCTAGGCTGGAGTGCAGTGGCGCAATCTCGGCTCACTGCAAGCTCCGCCTCCCGGGTTCACGCCATTCTCCTGCCTCAGCCTCCCAAGTAGCTGGGACTACAGGCGCCCGCCACCAAACCCAGCTAAGTTTTTGAATTTTTAGTAGAGATGGGGTTTCACTGTGCTAGCCAGGATGGTCTCAATCTCCTGACCTTGTGATCCGCCCGCCTCGGCCTCCCAAAGTGTGGGGATTACAGGCGTGAGCCGCCGCGCCCGGCCCTCTTTCTTCTTTTTTTTTTTTTTAAGAGTTGGGGTCTCACTCTGTCACCCAGGCTGGAATGCAGTGGCATGATCATAGCCCACTGCAGCCTCAAACTCCTGGGCTCAAGCCATCCGCCCACCTCAGCCTCCCAAGTAGCTGCGACTACAGGCATGGGCCATTACGCCCAGCTAATGTTTTACTTGCCTTTCTACACAGGCACCTCTGATTGCTGTCACTTCAGTTCCAGTCTCCTATAAGTCTTTACTGTTTGCTGACTCCAGCAAACAGTAAAACAGGCACATTTACATGGGTTAAGGAACCAACCTGGATAATTTTCCCTATAAACCAAGGTACTGGCTGGAGTTTCATCTTTATGATGTTATCATTCAGCACTTTCAGAAAAACTTCATAGTCTGGCTTTGGAAGAACAACTCCAGGAAATAAATCAGATATAATTCCCTGTTAAAAAGAATTTAAAAGAAAGTGGAAAGGATTAAGTATCAGATATGTGACTTCAACATTTTCCTAAAATGAGATGTATCAACAACAGAAATCTTTGAAAAATTCCAGACCTCATTTTTCTTACACCAAACTTGTCTAAAATTACAAATGAAAACACTATACAACATAATTTCTGGCCAGGCGCCATGGCTCATGCTTGTAATCCCAGCACTTTGGGTGACTGAGGTGGGTGGAGCACCTGAGTTCAGGAGTTCGAGACTAGCCTGGCCAACACGGCGAAAATCCGTCTCGACTAAAAATACAAAAATTAGCTGGGTGTGGTGGTGCGTGCCTGTAATCCCAGCTATTCGGGAGGCTGAGGCAGGAGAATCACTTGAATCCAGGAGGCAGAGGTTGCAATGAGTCAAGATCATGCCACTGCACTCCAGCCTGGGCAACAGAACAGAACTCCATCTCAAAAAACAAAACAAAACAAAAAAGACCCTATAATTTCTCCCCCAAATAATTTTAAAAGTCAGCAAATATTTAGTGAGTCTGGATTATCTTCCAGTCGTTGTACTAGGATGAACAAGATAGTCATGACTTCTGTCTTTATGAAGCTCAGAGCCTGGCAAGTAAGATTAATTACAAAAGGAAACTAATTAAATTGGATAAAAACACTTATGTATACCCAAGAGCAAATATTATCCTATCGGTGAAACAGTTTTTATTAAAAATCAGGCAGAGATGTTTGCTATCACTCATTATTTAACATTTGTAGGGAGGGTATCAGGTGGCAGAGATGCTGGCCAAAGAAGGGAAGATGTCAGGAGATGGAAGAGGACATGGGGAAGGCACCAAAGACAACGTTTCATCTTCCAACATTGAGCCTTGGTCCTCAGCCAAGGTTCCGAACCGCTACATACCTGAAACAGAGGGACATCTTGCGCTAAGAACTTGGCCAGGTTGACATCAAGCAATGCCCGGAGCAACAGGACACTTTCGTTCTCCTCTGGGTACTTGAGCTTCAGGTTTCCTGCAGCAGTAAGCACAGACTTGACAGCACGCATGCCGTAGTCATAGTGATGCTGAGAGGACAGTTGTTCCGAGCACAGGCGGTAGGTTGCAACGATCTTCTGGGCAAGACTAGGAGGGCAAAGACATGTATGAGACACCCACAGAGGACCACATCCTGCCCAGCAGACATTCCCAATATCCTTGTTCTTGCCCCACCAGCAATCAGGCTTGCCCACGGACTTGATGGAGAAGCCCTGTCCTTTAAGGGTCTTTTAACAGAGTTACCATAATGAGGTATGGAAGCATGAAAAAGAGCATGTGCACATATATGTATAACATGTATGGTATATGAAATCATATGTTTTTGGCCAGGTGCAGTGACTCATGCCTGTGATCTCAGCACTTTGGGAGGCTGAGGCGGGAGGATCGCTTGAGGCCAGGAGTCCAAGACCAGCTTGGGCAACATAGTGAGGCTCTGTCTCTACAGAAAAATTTAAAAATGAGCTGGGCACGGTAGCATGGCACCTGTCATCCCAGCTACTCGGAAGGCTAAGGGTGGGAGGACCTCTTGAGCCCAGGAGTTCAAGGCTGCAGTGAGCTGTGATTGCATCACTACACTCCAGCCTGAGTGACAGAGTGAGACTCTATCTTTACAAAAATAAAAATTAGATTAAAATAAATTGTATGGTGAGGCTGGTGTCGAATTCCTGACCCCAAGTGATCTGCTCACCTCAGCCTCCCAAAGCGAAGGGATTACAGGTGTGAGCCACCATGCCCGGAAGAAATTGTATGTTTTATACCTCTGTATGTATATATAAATGTATGCACACACATATACACACACACAAGTTAGGGAAGAACATATCAAACTATCAGGGATATTAACTCCTGGAGAGTGGAACTATGGGTTACCGAGGGGAAACTCACTTTTTTCATTTCTGTCGCATTATAATTTTTTCAATGTCCATTTTACTTTTTAAATTTAAGAAGGCCAGTACAAATTGTAATATACTCAGCCCACAACACACAGATGCTTACGTGCACTGCATACTTACGCACACACTGCAGTGCACATAAGTGTACATGTGTTGTGTACCAAGTATATTAAATTTTGAATTGGGTTTCTTATTCTTCCTGGATACACAGGTGGACCACATTTCCCAGACTGCCGTGCAGTCAGGGGAGGCCACATGCTACTGAGTTCCAGCCAGTGCAATGTGAATGATAGTGACTGACGTATGTCAATGGCAGGGCAGGCCCACGAAAACCTCCTCCGCGACAGCCTCTGTGCCATTCATGGGCTGTAGCCATGAACTATAAGCAACCTGGGTAACCATGGTAACTATAAGTAACCATGAACTGTAAGTAACCATCCCTTGGGGGAGAAGTGCCCTTGATCACAAGCACCCACTTTGGATTTTCAGACAAGATCGGCTGCGTTCAGTGTGGTATGGCCGTAGACTCATTTGGGATTTTCAGTGAGTGAAAAGTAAACTTTGCTATGCTAAGCCATTGAGATTCAGGAGTCAGTATTACCCTAACTAATATACTCATGCACTTTTCTCTCAAAGAGATCCTCTTTACAAAACTGATTTCGTTTAAAAACAAAGACTTTGTGTTGTTCACCAGCACCCAGCACAGGGCTGGGCATAAGGTTGCTGGCTCAATAAAGGTTTGCTAATTAAATAAATAAATGAATTGAGTGAGCAAATCAATGCATTCCTGGTTACTATAGAAAACAATGAGTTAGGCTGGGTGTGGTGGCTCAAGCCTGTAATCCCAGTACTTTGGGAGGCCAAGACGGGTGGATCACGAGGTCAGGGGATCGAGACCATCCTGGCTAACCCGGTGAAACCCCGTCTCTATTAAAAAATACAAAAAACTAGCCGGGCGAGGTGGCGGGTGCCTGTAGTCCCAGCTACTCAGGAGGCTGAGGCAGGAGAATGGCATAAACCCGGGAGGCGGAGCTTGCAGTGAGCTGAGATCCGGCCACTGCACTCCAGCCTGGGTGACAGAGCAAGACTCTGTCTAAAAAAAAAAAAAAAAAAAAAGAAAACAAATGAGTTAAATGTCATATGACTGAGGCAGCCTCTTGGCCTAGGAAGGGTGACATCCTATTGAGAATTTCTGCAGCCCCTTGGATTATAAACAAAGACACCCAGGCCATAAAGACATTCATTGTAACAGAAAGTCAATTGACGTGATAAAATTTGGAATGAGAGCAACACAAGCCATTTTGCAATGATTATTGATAACTCTTGGTACATGTATTACATGTATGTGTGTACACACACACACACACACATGAAGATACTGATCTGCGTATAAGTGTGTGTCTTGGAAACTGGACAATACTTGAATGAGAGATAACCTAGTTAATTGGAGGCAATAAATGTTATATTAATAATTTTTCCTCTTCAATTCTGGAATAATTGCATATGTTTTATAGTGTTGCTTTTTTTTTTTTTTTTTTTTTGAGACAGGGTTTCACTCTGTCACCCAGGCTGGAGTGCACTGGTGAGATCTTGGCTCACTGCAGCCTCTGCCTCCATGGGTCAAGCGATTCTCCTGCCTCAGCCTCCCGAGTAGCTGGGATTACAGGTGCGTGCCCCCAAGTCCGGCTAATTTTTGAATTTTTTGGTAGAGACGGGATTTCCCCATGTTGGCCAGGATGGTCTCAAACTCTTGGCCTTAAGTGATCCCCTGCCTTCTCCAAAGTGCTGAGATTACAGACGTGAGCCACGGCACCCAGCCTTGTTTGTTTGTTGCCTTAAGCCATTGAGTAATGTGGGTATGGATGTGTCAGAGTGAGGGGTGGGGAAGATATGAGTAGCTACTTTCTCTAATAGAACTCAGGTGTATGTAAAGAGAGAGCGGGGCCCTGCCCTGGGAATCTGGGCCATTTCCCTGTCAGAAATGGGGCAAGACCAAGCCTAGGGCTATGTGCTCTCAGACCACCCAGTAAGCTGAAGCAAGTTTCTCAAGCTTCTCTCTTTTATTCCAATGGGCAAACCACCTTGAATCCGCCACGCATGCAAAAAGCCACTATTTAAAGCCCTTTAGAATGCACTGGAAAACCCATGTAACACACCTTCTGGAGTCCAGAAACCCCATGGAGTAGAGGGAGATTTCTCCAATGAGGGCGTAATCTGGCACCATCATGGCCACTGTCCGGAACAAGGCCTGGAAAACAAACAATGAATCAGAATCGGAACATGTGCAGTGAATACTGAGGGAAGGCACATCCACAGAAGCAAAGGGAAGTAGCACGGTCCTTCAGGCCACTCCAGTGACAATCAAGGCAAGCAGGACTGGGGGACAAGTGAGTGCAGATGGACCATCCTCAGTTGGCCAATGCATGGCTCAGCCAACCTCCCTTCTGGCCCTGTGCAGGTACATGTCGTTACTTACATTCGGTCCCTCAGTGGTTCTGTGGAAGGCCCTAGGTGCTGGTACACCTCATTCTCCTATGCCAAATGAGGACACCTCATAGCATCACTCAACTGTTGGAGCTTCCCAGTGTTCAACATGGACATCAGAAGTCATTTAGGAATGCAGAACCAATAGGTATCAGAAGAAGTCAGACAGATCTTTTCTAAGACAGAGTCTCTGTCGCCCAGGCTGGAGTACAGTGGCACGATCTTGGCTCACTGCAACCTCCACCTCCCGGGTTCAAGCAATTCTCGTGCCTTAGCCTCCCAAACACCCGGGGATTACAGGTGCCCAACACCAGGCCCAGCTATTTTTTATTTCTACTAGAGATGGGGTTTCATCATGTTGGCCAGGCTGATCTTGAACTCCTGACCTCAGATGATCCAACCGCCTCAGCCTCCCAAAGTGTTGGGATTAAGGCGTGAGTCATCTTGCCCAGCCAGACAGACCTCGATTTGAGTTCCTGTTTTGCTCCGGACTAGCATGGGCAAGTTATACAACCCTTGTAGATCTCAGTTCTTTCATCTCAAAACAGACTAACTTTACTCTCTTCATAGAGTTATCATGAGAATAAATGATAGAATGCAAGTGAAGTGCTTACAAGAGTATGTGGCACATAGTAAGTGTTCAATATACACCAGCTATTGCATTATTACCTTGGATGGATCTTAGAGGAGAAGTAACTTGCCTGAGTCACCCAGTTAGTTAGAGCTAATGCCAGGGCTAGAATCCAGGCTTCCTGATACCATGCCCGGGTGCTTTCTACTATACCACGGCATCGTGAAAGCTGCTTGTGATGAGCTAATATGGCTGTTGGCTGGGATGGGTGCAGGGGGTGCTTACAACTACTGGGCAGTAAAAAATGAGAAATGGGGCCGGGACTGGTGACTCACACCTGTAATCCCAGTACTTTGGGAGGCCAAGGCAGGTGAATCGCCTGAGGTCAGGAGTTTGAGACCAGCCTGGCCAACATGGTGAAAACCTGTCTCTACTAAAAATATGAAAATTAGCAGGGTGTGGTGGCGCATGCCTGTAGTCCCAGCTACTCAGGAAGCTGAGGCAGGAGAATCGCTTGAACCCGGGAGGCAGAGGTTGCGGTGAGCCAAGATCGTGCCACTGCACTCCAGCCTGGGGGACAGAATGAGATTCCGTCTCAAAAAAAAAAGAGAGAGAGAGAGAGAAATGTGGATCCAAATTCTATCTTGGCCTTCACTGGCGTATGTTGACCTAGAGGGGAGGAGCCACTTGAAGCATCACCCTGACTATTTTCTCTTCTCAGAGAGAAGTGGTCCATCTGAATAAGATTCCAGGGCTCCAATCAGAATGCATTAGTAGCAGGGGATAGATCATGTCCTAAAGTCAGTGGATATGGGTGTGGCTGGGTCTCTCTTACCACTTCCATCCAAGGGGACGGTGGAATAAATTTACCCCCAGGTAGGTACCTCTAGAGGTTTCTCTTTCTTTTTCTTTTTTTTTGAGGTAGAGTTTCATTCTTGCCTCCCAGGCTGGAGTGCAATGGCGCTGTCTCCAGTCACTGCAGCCTCCACCTCCCACATTCAAGCGATTCTTCTGCCTCAGCCTCCTGAATAGCTGAGTGGGATTACAGGCGCTGGCCACCATGTCTGGCTAATTTTTGTATTTTTAGTAGAGATAGGGTTTCACCACGTTGGCCAGGCTGGTCTCGAACTCTTAACCTCAGGTGATCTGCCTGCCTCAGCCTCCCAAAGTGCTGGGATTACAGGCATGAGTCACAGTGCCCGGCCCAGAGGTTTCTATTCTAAACAGCACACCCTATATGTATATCTGCTGGCATTTACCTTGAGGTTGTCAGGCAGTTCAGCCCTGCCAGCATAGCCGGGGTTCATGGTGATGAACACAGCACATGTTGGGTTCAGAGAGAGCTCAGTGCCTTCAAAGATGAACATCTTTAGCTTCCGAATGATGGCTTGTTGGATGCTGAGGATCTGCTGAGCGACCACAGACAGCACTTCCACCTGGGGTGAGAATGCCCGGCTGATAGGAGCTCCTGCTTCTGTCTGACAACCACCCTACTCTACCAGAGTCCTCCCACATAGCAAAGAAAGAACCCAATCACCCGGAAACCAACCACACCTGCACATTCAAAATTAGGAGCATGATTTGGGGTTTTGGTAAAAAAAAAACATAGGTTTGCGCGTGTGTGCGTGTGCGTGTGCGTTAATAGTTTCCATAGTATTTTATCTTTGTTTCAACACCTGGCATAGTACTTGACATACAGTAGGTATTCTGTGTTTATCAATTCATATTGGTTCAAAGATCAGAGATTTTTATATTTCCTGATCTTCATTCATCATCCAAACAGAATTATACACTCTTTTGTGATACGTCTTTTGTACTTCTACTATAGACTTTTATCATGTTGGTATTTGTTTCATTAAATTTTTATTTCCTTTTACTAGATTGTAACAGTCTAGACAGCAAGACCCCCCCTTTTTTTTTTTTTTCTGAGACAGAGTTTCACTTCCAAGTTGGTATGCAATGGTGAGATCTCAGCTCACTGCAACCTCCGCCTCCCGGGTTCAAGCCATTCTCCTGCTTCAGCCTCCCGAGTAGCTGGGATTACATGCACTCACCACCACATCCAGCTGATTTTTATATTTTTAGTAGAGACAGGGTTTCACCATGCTGGCCAAGCTGGACTTGAACTCCTGACCTCAGGTGATCCACCCGCCTTGGCCTCCCAAAGTGCTGTGATAACAGGTGTGAGCCACCACGCCCAGCCAAGACCATCTTTTTTTTTTGAGAGACAAAGTCTCACTCTCACCCAGGCTGGAATGCAGTGGCTGCATCAAAGCTCACTTCAGCCTCGAACTCCTGAGCTCAAGCAATCCTCCTGCCTCAGCCTCCTGAATAGCTGAGGTTATTTTATTTCTGTAGAGACAGGGTCTCAACTGTGTTGCCCAGACTGGTCTCAGACTCCTGGGCTCAAGTGATCCTCCCACCTTGGCCTCCCAAAGTGTTGGGATTACAGGTGTGAGCCTCTGTGCCTTGCTATACAACCATTTCACGCTCATCTTTGTAGCATGAACTTATGCAGAATATCTGATGTATAGTAGTTGCTCAATAGTTTGAAATGGGCAAGTGAATGAATTAATATGATGGAGAGATGGGGATATGTGTATAAAACATGCATCTGTCTCCTTGAGACTCCTTCTGTTTAATTCACTGAGTACCTGCTTTGGAGGTTCTCATGTCTGCCATACAAGAGACATAAGGCCCTGTTATTAAGGGGTGCAGAGCCAAGTAAAAGGCCCCTCCATGCCCAGCTTCTTTGTTTTGTAGCCTAGAGGCAGAGTTACCTCGATCCTGTTGAATTCATCAAAGCACGCCCATGCTCCAGCCTGTGCCAGCCCCTTGAAGAACTTCCCCATAGCTTTGTAATCCAAACCATCGGAGCAGTTGAAGACCACGCACTAGAAAGAGGGAGGATGTGGGTATCATTCAGGGTGGATTGCATCCCATCTGAATTACCCTGCACCATTCAGCAGCAGTGGACTCCTCTCTCCTTGCTCTGCTTGAAGGAGCTGGGGTCCACGCTGCCTGTTAATGCTAAACTATCTTAAAGTTCATGCTTACTTCCCAGAATAGGGGTGCAGAGAGGGCCTGGAAGAGAGGGAGGGGATAGATGGTATTTCCTTACCTGCTTAGCCAAGGCTTTGGCCAAATCTTTGGTGGTTTCTGTCTTGCCAGTCCCAGCTGGACCCTCTGGAGCACCCCCAAGGTTCAGCTTCAAAGCTCCCATCAGTGTCCTATGGGAAGAAAATAGGACTTCAGTGCTTGACGTCTAAGACCCAGGAAAGAAACTAACTTTTTATTTATTTTGACTCATACAAATATTTAGGTTAGTGCAAAAGTAACTGCAGTTTTTGCCATTGAAAGTAATGCTAAAAGCTGCAATGCTAAAAGCTGCAATGACTTTTGCACCAACCAAATACTTAAAAATTTTCCCGATTATATGAGCAATACAACATCACTGTAAAAATTTCTATTTTACTCAGCATTGTAACCTCAGAGCCCAGCACATGAGTGGCACCCATAAATATGTGTTTGAATGAATAAATGAATACGTGCATATATATATATATCTCTCAAATAAAAGCAAAAATACTCATAACCTCCACATTCCAAAGATCACCAGTGCTAATAGAATGGTGAAAATAAATATATTTATCCAACTAGATTATGAATTCTTTTTTTCTTTTGAGACAGGTTCTCACTCTGTCGGCCAGGCTGGAGTGCAGAGGCATGGTCACAGCTCACTGTAGCCTTGACCTCCTGGACCCAAGTGATCCTCCCATCTCAGCCTCCCAAGTAGCTGGGACTTACAGGCACATGCCACCACACCTGGTTGATTTTCGTATTTTTTGTAGAGGTGGGATTTTGCATGTTGCCCAGGTGGGTTGGTCCCAAGTTTCTGGGATCAAGTGATCCACCCACTTTGGCCTCCCAAAGTGCTGAGATTACAGCTGTGAGCCACCATGCCCAGCTAGACTATGAACTCTTAAGTTCAGGAATCATATTTGATTGCATTTCATAACCTCAGTAAATTAATACAGTTCCTGGCATGTAATAGGTGCCAGATATATGTTAGAAATGAATGGTGTAATAACTGTGGTTCCATGGCCCTTGGTATGAGTCTGTATGTTTTCATTTAGCACTCTATCTTGTAATCATTTGAATATGTCTCTCCCGACCCCCCAGTTAGATTTAGGGTTTCTTGAGGTCATGCATGGTGCACAGGAAACTTCAAAAAATGGTTGTTGAACAATGAGTGGAATAAATACATGAATGAAGAGCAAAAGTCATGACCACAAAAAAACAAGTGGTTGAGGATTTTGAAGGGAGAAAACATTCCCAAGCATTATTTTTGCAATCTAAAAAACTCCCACTGTAAGGAAATATATAAAAGCAAAGAACATCTAAACATCACAAAACCAACAAGTTCACAAAATCCCGATCTCAAAGGCTGAGTTCCACAGAAAATGTCAGAGCACTTTGCTGAGCACAGAATGGCCAGATCTTTTCATGAGACTGGCTGGCAGAGCATAGAGACCCCTTGGCTGCGTTCTTGACCTCACTTCTTGTCTATCTTATGGCCATAGGATCTCCAGGTACCATCTTGATTCCTGCCATTGGAGAGCCCTCTACGTCAAGTCTTGTGCCATGTTCATGGACGTGCACCAATATTCCACTTGTTGGTTCAAATATATTGATTTGCACTAGAACTATTACTGGGTTCTCATTTCTAGCCTGAAGACCTACTTTGCATGCCCATCTTTGGGACTATGGAGACTCTAACAATCTGAAGTGTGAAGGGTAAAGGTAACCCAAGACATCCCTAACTTTCCTCCCCAGAGTCTTCTTCCCCTGGAGTTCTCCATTCACCCATCAGATCTAGGAGCTCCAGAGTGTACCTGTAGCAGCGGTCTGTGAGGGGTGTGATCACCAGCCGAGGGGAGTTTCCCAGGTACTCATAGCCATACAAGGCTTCTGTGGTGATGATCTGCACCTGTACATCCTGGGCCACCCAGTAGTAGCGCAACTGTGAGATCCACTGGAAATCATTCAGATCAGAGACCCTGTCCTCAATTAACTTGGCCACCACATCGCGGGCTGTTGGGACACAGATGCAGAAACACACACACAGAGCCATCAGAACTCTCCATCTTCGTAAGCTCCTCAGTTAGAAGTGGATGTTATCAAGGTCCCCCATTCTCTAAACAATTTTATTTTATTTATTTATTTTTTGAGATGGAGCCTTGCTCTGTCCCCCATTCTGGAGTGCAACAGCGTCATCTCAGCTCATTGCAACCTCCGCCTCCTGGGTTCAAGCGATTCTCCTGCCTCAGCCTCCCAAATAGCTGGGATTATAGGTGCACGCCACCACACCTGGCTAATTTTTTGTATTTTTAGTAGAGATGGGGTTTCAGCATGTTGGCCAGGCTGGTCTCCAACTTCTGACCTCAAGTGATCCGCCCACCTCGGCCTCCCAAAGTGCTGAGATTACAGGCGTGAGCCACCGCGCCCGGCCCAGACAATTTTAGATTTCTCAAGCCTCCTTGCCCACCCCCACCCTGCAGGCAGCATTATCTGTTAGAAGCTGGTATTTGCTTTCTCCCAAAACCAGGCAGAGAATCTGCTTCACTATCTTCTCTCAGACAGCACAGCAGAGGTATTAAAGGTGCGTGCTCTGAAATCAGACTGCCTGGGTTCAAATTCTGGTTCCACCACAACCTAGCTGTGTGACTTTGGGTAAGTTCCTCGACCTCTCTGTTCTTCAGTTGTGTAATCTGTAAAATAGGGATCATATAGTACCTACATTATAGGGCTATCATGAGGATTAAATGAATATATATGCACATACGTACATGCCTACATCTAGACACAATAGAGAGAGAGAGCTGTTCTTGGCGTATGAAAATGTTTTACAGGTATTAGCTACTGTTATCATCCCCAAATTCTTGGAAGTCTGAGCCAGAGGGCTTTGCAATGCATACTGACTCCAAATGCCATCCTATTTCCAATATAACCCTTTTGGTCCTGTTTCAGGCCCCTAGGATATCCTAGGAGAATGCAATCAGCATGGCCTTATATAGCAGGGGAAGGAAGCCCGAGAATCCATGGTTAGATATATCCTTTCCATCTGGAGGCCTGAGAAACCAGCTGGAAGATATACATTTCTAGCTTTTCTCTTTTCTCTCATGGGACTGTAAGCCCTGATTTAATTTTATCCAAGTGACAGGGGCCTTGAAGTTGAAGAGTGGATCTAGGCTGATGAGAATCATTCATTATGTTTTTGGTAACTCAGGTGGAGAGCTATGGAGATCTCAGAGCTAGTACAGCAGACTCAACAGATTCAGAACCTGGGGCTTAGAGAGGTAACTAACTTGCTGAGAGGCACACAGCTATAATAGCAAGCAACAGAAGCGCCTGTGTCTGTCTGCTTCCAAGCCTAAGGGACTTTTCAAAGGGTTGCTTCCATTGAACCTTTCCTGCCTCTCTGTGACAGTCTTCTTTATTACAGTAAAATCCAAAACCCTGCAGGGAAGAGTCCTTGAAGACGATTATATCCACAGCTTTTTCTTCCTTCCCAAGGAATTTAATTCTCCTCCTGGCTCTTGGGGAAATATACAGGGGAACCACCTGATATGTTCTCCCAAGGAAGAGGGTATAGGGCAGGAGTATGGTATGCCTGAGGGATCTAAGAGGAAAGTGAATTTCAAGGGATTGAGTTGGGGATGCCTTCACCATGCAGTGTGTGTATGTGCACTTGCATGTGTGTGTGAGTGTATATGTGTGTGGGTACATGCGTGTGTGCATACATGCATGCTTGTGTTTGTGAACCCAACCACACTCGGGTACCCTGGGCAGTATAACCACATCTGCACCAATTATTCCTAACAGCTGAGTATGTAGCTGTATGAAGAGCACATTTTCCCTTCTCTCTCCTTGATGTTATGCTGGTCTACCTAATGAAATCAGATTGAAGTGAGCATTAACCTGAGGGGAATGAGATGCCATGAAATGCCAGTAGGAAGCTGGGTGTGTGAGCAAGAGGCTCTGTTCCCAAGCAACCAGCCTGGTCCAGCCCTAGTTTCCTTGGTGATGGAGAGAGGGTGTGGGGGTGGTTTGTTTTATATAAAGACCCCAGTTTTTCCTCCTCCTCCTCCTCTTCCTCCTCCTCTTTTTTTTAAAGGAGGAGCTGGAAGGCATCCTCTCTCACCACCCACTGCTTGCAACATTGCCCATTTCCAGTCCCTTAGGCTTGGAAGCAGACAGACACAGGCGCTTCTCTTGCTTACTATTATAGCTGTGTGCCTCTCAGCAAGTTAGTTACCTCTCTAAGTCCCAGGTTCTGAATCTGTGAAATGTCTATGAAAATGAGATAATGTATGTCAACCACTTAGCACAAAGCCTGGCACCTAGCAAGGATGCAAAAATATTAGCTACAGTTAGCCAAGGAAAGGATTCCACGTTAGCGAAGCTCAGAAATGACTTTGGCCATCATTGTCTCAGTACAGGCCCTGCTTGGAGGGCTCCTGGAAATCAGTTTGGGGGTGGGAGAGGAAATACAGGTGAAGAGCCCTTTGGCGTTGGCTTCTCTCCTTCCTCCTCCATCTTACTCTCAGTTGGAGAAAGCTCTCCCTAATGAGGAAGGAAACCCTGAATTATTCCATCCAGGAGAACTGAGATGAGCAAGACTAGACTGCTTCTCCTGGACAGTCAGTAATGACAGGGGAAGCCCATTGGCTTACCGTGGACATCGATGACTGTGAGGGCCCCGAGCGTGAGTCGAGCTCCACTGCTCAGCTTCCCTCGCACCAGCTGGACAATCTGTGCAATCTGATCATTGCTCTTTTTCAGAAAATTCTGGCAGGGGCAGAGGAGGGGACAACTGGTTACATTTGACTCTCCTCTGGTAATCCCTGTGTCAAGAAATGGTACCATGGACCACCGGATGGCTCAAGCCAGACTCCTGGGTGTCATCCCTCAAGTCCACCTTTTCCTTACCCCAGTCCTTAATCTCTGAATGAATTCCTAATGCATTGTGCTGAAAGAGGCAAGATTTGGAAGGTTTCATACTCCATAGTTTTATTTTTATACTATTGTAGAAAAGGCAAAATTACAGGAGTGAGCAGAAAATACCTTGGTAGTTACTGGAGACTTGGAGTAGAGAATGCAACTGACTACAAAGGGCCTGAGGACATTTTTTTGGATGGTGTGGAACTGTCCTATATACTGATTGTGATGGTGCCTACACAAATGCATGTGTTTATCAAAACTGAGAACCGTATGCTAAAAAAGGTGAATTTCACTGTATATACCATAAATCAGAATTAACCCCCCAAATTGGAAACTTTTTCACATTAAAGAGACAAAGGAGCTATAAAAACAAAATGCAACATCCTGGACTAGATTGCATCCTGGACCAGGGGGAAAAAAAAAAAAAAAAAAAAGATAGTAGGGCAATTGGCTAATTTTATTTATTTATTTATTTATTTATTTATTTATTTATTTGAGACAGAGCCTGACTCAGCCTCCCAAATAGCTGGGATTACAGTTGTGCACAACCACACCCAGCTAATCTTTGTATTTTTAGTAGAGATGGGGTTTCGCCACGTTGGCCAGGCTGGTCTCGAACTCCTGACTCAAGTGATTCACCCACCTTGTCCTCCCAAAGTGCTGTGATTACAGACATGAGCCACCATGCCCGGCCTGTCATTTCTTTTTCAAGATGACAAAATTTAAAATAGCCAATTTAGAAAGGTCTATAGATTAGAGAATAAAATCGTTATCAATGTTGATTTCCTGATTTGGATAACTGTACAATGGTTGTCTAAGATGTTAATATATGAGGAATCTGGATGAAAGATATATGAAAATTCTTTGTATTATATTTTCAGCATTATTTGTAAGTTTCACGTTATTTCAAATTAAAGAGGAGAAAAATAAAAGAAAAAGAAAACTTAAAAAGGAAAAAAAGTAAGACCACCCTAGGTTCAAACCCTACCTTTCCTACTTTCTAGCTATGTGGCTCTGGGCAAATGATTTTAAGTTTCCGAGTCTCAGTCTCCTGGTGTGTCAAATGCAGATTTTTTTTTTTTTTTTGAAATGGGGTCTTGGTCTGTCACCTAGGCAGGAGTGCACAGGCACAAACATGGCTCACTGAAACCTTGACCTCCTGAGCTCAAGCAATCCTCCCACCTCAGCCGCCTGAGTAGCTGGGACCACAGGCACACCCCATCACTCCTGGCTAACTATTTGTAGAGAGGGGGTCTCACTATGTTGCCCGGGCTGGTCTTGAACTACTGGTCTCAAGCAATCCTCCCGCCTTGGCCTCCCAAACTATTGGGATTACAGGCATGAGCCACCATATCCTGCCCTAAATCTAGATGATCATAGCTGCCTCTTCAAGCTGTGTTGAGGATTAAATGAGGTAGTGTATGTGCTGTTGGGGCTTCTCCCCACATCTCTCCTAAACACAGCTATTCCACAGCTATTCTAGACCAAAGTGTCTTCCTGCTGGCATACACCATGCTTTTCATCTTCAGGCTTTTGCATACTCCAGGTCTTCTCTCTGGAACACTCTCCCTCCTATTTTCTGCTCAGCTAATCCCTACTTATATTTCAGGTGTCCTCCTAGACACCACTTTTCTGGGAAATCTTCCCTAATCCTAACTTTCCTCCCTTCACTCTCTTACTCTTTCCTTCCTTCCTATTTTCTTCCTTTCCTTCCTTCCTTTTTCCTCCCTCCCTTCCTCCCTCCCTCCCTCCCTCTCCCTCCCTCCCTTCTTCCTTCCTTCCTTCCTTCCTTCCTTAAACCCTCCCTCCCTCCCTGCCTCCCTCCCTTCCCATACTTACTAGATGTCTGTTCTTTCCTTATCACAGTTCTATACAAGAGCCTTTTTCTCTCCCCTACTAGACCATAAATCCTTGAGGACAGGGACTATGTCTGTCTCATTCACATCTAATTACCTTTGTTAGCAGCAGTACCAGCACAGAGCAGATGCCAAACCAATATTTGTTAAATGAATAATAAATGGTTGGAGGGAGGGAGGGATGATTATTCTGTGTCAACACCTGCTTCCTTTAGGGCCTTGGTATACGATGGGAAACATTCTCCCTATCTATGGGTGGGAAAACTGGGGCACATGAATCCGCCTCCATCACAAAAAGTCAGAGATACTGTCACAAAAGTCAGAGGATTTTAGAGTTTCTAAACTTTGAAATGATGTACGTGAAAGCAGTTTGCATGTGTACAGTGCAATATGTCTATTAGGATTTATCAATATGGAATCTGTATAAGTTTAAACAGTGGCCAAATTTTATGTTCTAATTTCAGTTTATACAGCAAAATATAGGAAATTAAAACATATTCTAATACACAGCCAATCCTCTAAGAGCAGTAAAGGAGATCTGGTGAGATATTCATGGGGAATGAGACCATGGAAGAAAGGCTGAATATGAAGTTTTCATTCATCCATTTAACAAATATTTGGTCAAGCATGGTGGCTCCCAGCACTTCGGTGGCCCCTTGGCTTAGGAAGAATACAGGAGGTCTCCGTTGGTGGAAATTCTGCCAGGTTGGCCCCTAGAAGCCCAGGGTACAAGACTTAGAATCCTGTAGTCCAGAATTTCTGTCTGGGAAGGACTAGGAGAGGTCTCGTACCATAGAATTGCAGGACAGCTCGAATCCCAAATTCTCCATCCCCCTGTCCTCATGGGAACCCTGATGTCTGTGATGCTATGAGTCCAAATGATTTTTGTTTAGACAACAAAAGAGTCTCAGTCTCCTGGTGTGTCAAATGCAGATTTTTTTTTTTTTTTTGAAATGGGGTCTTGGTCTGTCACCTAGGCAGGAGTGCACAGGCACAAACATGGCTCACTGAAACCTTGACCTCCTGAGCTCAAGCAATCCTCCCACCTCAGCCGCCTGAGTAGCTGGGACCACAGGCACACCCCATCACTCCTGGCTAACTATTTGTAGAGAGGGGGTCTCACTATGTTGCCCGGGCTGGTCTTGAACTACTGGTCTCAAGCAATCCTCCCGCCTTGGCCTCCCAAACTATTGGGATTACAGGCATGAGCCACCATATCCTGCCCTAAATCTAGATGATCATAGCTGCCTCTTCAAGCTGTGTTGAGGATTAAATGAGGTAGTGTATGTGCTGTTGGGGCTTCTCCCCACATCTCTCCTAAACACAGCTATTCCACAGCTATTCTAGACCAAAGTGTCTTCCTGCTGGCATACACCATGCTTTTCATCTTCAGGCTTTTGCATACTCCAGGTCTTCTCTCTGGAACACTCTCCCTCCTATTTTCTGCTCAGCTAATCCCTACTTATATTTCAGGTGTCCTCCTAGACACCACTTTTCTGGGAAATCTTCCCTAATCCTAACTTTCCTCCCTTCACTCTCTTACTCTTTCCTTCCTTCCTATTTTCTTCCTTTCCTTCCTTCCTTTTTCCTCCCTCCCTTCCTCCCTCCCTCCCTCCCTCCCTTCC